TTTTTGTGGCACCAGGATATCCAATTATTCCAGCACTATTTGTTTCCCCGGCATATATGTTTGAAAAGAGGCTTTGGAGTGGAAATTATCTACTTCCCTCTATCTGGTGAACTCCTATTCATCCTTCAAAACCCAGGCTGAATGTTCCCTCAGCTAAGAAGTCTTCCCTGGCAAAGGCCAAGTCACTCTATCAGCTATCCTGTGGTGCCCACAGCATTTTGTGCAACCTCTGACATATTCTTATCTCATGTGATTGCATTAATTTCTCAGTCTATGTTTCTGCTAAAATGAAAATTCATGGAGGAGGACCACAATCCTACCACTCAACACAGGCCCGGCATAGGTGGTGGTGCAGGTATTCGGGGGAGAGGCGAGAAAACAATGGTTAAAATAACTGAATAATAAAATATCAAACCAGTGAATCATTTGCTTCTTTAAGCAATGAAATACCTCTCAGCCCCACTGGTAGACTACATTCATCAGAAAACCATCGCTGAGCCGGGCACGGTGGCTCACGCCTGTAATCCCAGCACTTTGGGAGGCCGAGGCGGGTGGATCATGAGGTCAGGAGATCGAGACCATCCTGGCCAGCATGGTGAAACCCCATCTCTACTAAAAATACAAAAAAAAGTAGCTGGGCGTGGTGGCGCGTGCCTGTAGTCCCAGCTACTCCGGAGGCTGAGGCAGGAGAATTGCTTGAACCCAGGAGGCGGAGGTTGCAGTAAAGAAAACCATCGCTGAGTGCACCTACCCCAGTTAAACACCAGCAGCATTTACAAAGAGCACACTTTAGGCCACGCCCTGTTCTCAGCACGTGATGCACCATTTCACTTCACCCCCACAACTACCCTGAGGCAGATTATTTTGCTGAAGAAGAGACGAACATCCAGGGAGGTCAAGGTCAGGGCTGGGGCTTGAACTAGACAACGTGATTCCAGGCCCTAGTCCTACCTCTACGTATACTACATCTGGTTTCTTAATTTGTCCAAGTCTCCTTTCCGCAGTAAGCCCAGACCCTACAAAGGCAGCCCCTGACTCTCCCACATGACCAGCCCCTGCCGCCTATGAACCCCGGTATCAAGGAGACAAGCTGCAGGGGGGCTCCGCATCACCCTCCCATCTGGCCCCAGGGACACAGCCCCACATCCCACCCCAAAGGACTTCCTCCTTACCTTGGACCATGCGCCCATGCCAAAGGAGCTGCTGTCTGCCACGTGGTGGAGGTTCAGCTCCGTCCTGGAAGCACAGAAGGAATGAGGAGTCAGGGGGCACTGTCCACACCGGGCCTGGCAGGGCAGGTGGGCGTCACAGTGTGAGGCTCCACGCCACTGCCCAGGCACCCCAGTGGCTGTCCCTGGCCTTGGCCCCACTAACTCTGCCCTGGGACATCTTCGATCTCCCAAATATTCCTCCCTCACAGCCCTCACTTGGCTCTTCCCGAAAGCCAGGAAATCCCAGAAGAAAGAGTAGCAGAGGAAAATCAGGAGGGCGGGGACGGACCCCAGATCTTCTCATCAGCTGGGTGAGCTCACTCAGGGGCAATAAGGAAACGGTCAGCGCGAATGAGTCCTTGCTGCGTGCTGAGTTCTAAGATGACTCAAGACAGCCACACCCCATGGGTACAAATATGATTTCCATTTTGCAGTTGAGAAAACAGAGGCCCTGGGCGTGAGTACTGCCCCGGACTTCACAGCTAGCCAACACGCAGCCAGGAGCCGAACTGCGGTCTGCTGGCCCCTGCAGCCCTCACTCCACGCCAGCCTGCCACGGGCGCCTCTACCGGCCTCAGTCTGCACTTTTTGAACCAACGCGGTGTGTAAGGCTCCTTCCGGCGTTCAAACCGCAGGTTCCTTCAGAGTGAGACCTGCAGATGGACCACCCGCTTTTGCAGGCTTGAGGAATGCACGCCAAAGGGGGGTGAGCATGGCTATGCCCCTTGTCCCCTCGAATCACACTCTCTACTCACAAAAGCATTGTAGAGCCCAGCCTAGGGTCCCCAGTCCCCATGTGGGTTCTAATTGGTTCCTGGAAAGTGGGGCTGACTCATCAGTCTCCGGCCAACTTGTCTGGTTCTGGGGTCTTCAGTGTCCTCTCCCTGGATTCTCTACAGACCCTACACCCCTCTCTGCCTCGTGACTTTGAAAGACTCTCACCAGAGAGGCTTCAAGTTCAACCCCAGTGCTGCCATGCAGCGGACAAGGTAATTCTCTTCTCTGCAACTAACTTTTCCTTATCTGTAAAATGGGCCCCCCCTCCACTTGTCTCCCAGGATTAAATGAGATATTGTACATAACCTCACACTGCCGGGCTGGCATGGAGTAAGTGCTCTGTGTTTTCCTCATACGCTCTTCTGTTCACTGGAAATTCAATCTGACGAGTCATTAAGAAGCATCTACCCGGTGCCAAGGCCAAGCCCTGCGCTAGGTACTGGGAAGGCAGAAAGAAGGATGGCAGGGCCCCTGATGCAAAGATCTCCCAGTCCACCTGGTGAGGAAGGGAGACCTGCACACCCAGCATGGCAGGTGCTTGAGCCAGAAGCACACACCAGACACCAAAATGGTAAAAAGGAGAAACTGAGGAGCAAGAGTCAGGCAATGTTCCTCTAAGGAAGAGATTTCGAGTAGGGTTTTGAAGGATGAATAGGAGTTTGCCACATGAGTGCATGGGAGAAAGAACATTTGCCCAGTGGGAACCAGTTTTTGACCTTTGGAAGCCTCCAGGGGGGTGAGGGACCAGGTTGGCAGCAGCAGAGGCAGAGAAAGGGAGGTAATGGAGGGGTCACCAAGGAGCCTTCAGAATGACCATGACTCCCTCCCTGCAAGGTCTGAGTTGCTCCAAACACTCTACTCTCTTGGGGTCTCTGAAACTCATCTGGACGACCCCTTCCTCTCAGAGGCAGCTTTGGCCTGGCTTCTAAGGCTGCCAGACTCAATAAGGATGCCACCAGCACGGAGGGCCCCTGGCCTGGGCCCGGCTTGGAGTGAAGGCCTGGCACCCTCTGCTGGCTGCAGTGGAGCCTCACCCTTCCTGGGCCCACCCCAGGATAAGCCCCCAAACCCCCTCCCCAGCAGGCAATGCTTCTCTCCCCAGAGCCAAGTGCCACCCATGGGATACAGATGAGAGAGCCCCAGTTTGGGGCTCCAGAGCCAGAACGGGGTGATGTGTGTGTCCCTCAGTATTCTGAGACAGGAGAAAACGGAGGCCCCAAGATGTAAGGGCATGGGCTGAAAGTGGGGCTCAAACACCTACATTCAGGCTCCGCCCACCTCTTCCTTCCCGCATGACACCCTCACTACGCGCCGCACACGGCGCCTGCTGCCTCGACATGTGATCTCATTTAAATGTCTCCAGGGCTGGCGCTAGTAGGAACCCACTTTACAGAAGGAGAAACCAAGGCTCAGAGAAGCCCATGTGGGGCAAAGCCAGGATCCGATCCATGTCCTTCTGAACCCAAAGTCATTCCTTTGGATGACCTGGTCAGGGCCTGTGGGGGATATCAAGGCAGACCAAATCCTCCCAAATCTACAACAAACACAAAGCATTCGCCAGGCCCCGGCGCTGTTTTAAGGACTGTCTACCTGTTCGTTTTTTAACCCTCACCACAACACTGCGCGATAGTCGCAGCTATTTTGTAGATAAGAAAAGTCAGGCCCAGAGAGGGGAAGTCACTAGCTCAAGGTCACACAGCCAATGAGTGGAGAAGCCAGCATGAAAATTCACACAGCCTTGTCCTCGAGTTTCCGGTCCTTGTCGCTCTACTATACCACCCTACTCCAAGTTCTTCTACAGGTTCTCAAGACCTTCTAGAAGCTTCCCTGCTGCTCAGTTACTATCACTCTGAAAACCGGGAGTTCCCGGGATGCCCAGGACAGGTTGAGGCTGCCCTTCAGATGCAGAGAGAAGGCCGGGGAACAAACAGTGTTGGGGTTAGAACAGGGCAACCACAAATTACCACCCCTCACGTGGGAACACCTAGTTTTTCCTCTCCCTGGAGCTTCATGAAGACCATGCATCCATCCAACAGAGGAGGGAACCAAGGCTCTGGGAGAGGAAGCCGCATGAGCTCCATGCCTAAGGATGCCCTGTAGATCTGGGGAAGGGCAGAGATGGCTTTTTGGGCCACCTCCTCCAGGAAGCCCTCCAAGATGAGGCTTCCGTGACTACCCAGCTCACTGCTCCACTCAGCTCCAGGTCTGTCCTGAAGCACCTCATGTAGACACACCCTACCATACACCCAAAGCTCCCACAAAAGTTTAGAAACTTCTGGAAGATGTGGGGGTCTGCTGTCCCTCTCCCTCTTCCTACACCGTGGTCAGGGCCAGTGCTGACATACCACTGTCACAGCAGACAGCCTCCACTCCCAGCATTTATAAAGAGCTGAATGTATATTATCTCACTGAATCCTATATGTATTATCTCACTTAATCCCATAAGGTCTAGGCAAGGTGTTGTTTCCACATTACAAAGAAAGAAACTGAGGCTCAGAGTGGATGACATGTGACATGTGACCCAAGTCATCCTGCGTGTGAGCTGTGGGTACCCAGGCAGCTGGAATCGGAGGCCATGTTCCTATTCCCTGGGTCCCGTGACCTCTCAGTGCTGGGCAGAAGCTAAGGCTGGACCCCCAAAGAACAGGTGCCCTTTGTGGCAGTGCCCTCAGTTGTCTCTACCTGCCGCAAGTGCTCACCTGAGATCCAGGTCCAATCCAGCCAGCATCTGGGAGAAAACCTGGAAGTTACTTTCCCCTTCCGGCTGCCGGGCCACTCGGCTCTTCTCCAAAAGCATTGTCTGCAGGGAGACAGCACCCCATCAGCACTTTGGGGACATCTGCTCGTGCCTAGCACCCAGCCACCCAGAAGCCCCGTCAGGGTGCCCCACTCTGATCCACTCTTTGAGGCAACATCTCAGGTCCAACTTTCGCTGTCAACCTCTAAGTCAAAACCTCCGAATCCTTTGTCTCCCTGATTCAGAGTCCACCTAGGAAACCAACTAACGCAATAGATTTATTCCAATTAAGGCATCAACGGTAATAACAATCAAGGCCACCCTCCAGCATATTCCTTTTTTAATAGAAGCCTTTAATACCTTAACCCGAATCGTGATTAAGGGTAGGATTTCAGGGCCAGGACGGAAAAGGGACTTATTTGGCATGGAGGGGTTTTCCTTGAGTCTGGATATTACGCCAGGTCCGTGTGCAAACAACCCTTCTCATAATCTAATCCTACTTTACGTTCCAACAGAACGTTTGAGGGAGACGGGGAGGGGTGCCGATGATCTTGGAGATGAGAAGGAACTGGCCATGTGTTCGTCACACCCGGACTGCTGCGGAAGGCTGGCGAGTGTCTGTTTAATTTCAACTTGCGCTTTTAAGACCCGGCTAAGGAGAGGCTGAATTCCTATTAGCTCATGAATAGTTCATCAGGCTGGCTGGCTCCAGAGGGGAATGTTCCAGGTCACTGAGTGAGGTGGGGAGCCACTTGGCCCCAGCTAGGGGGTCCATGACCATTTCATTATTTTTATTATTATTACTATTTTTTTTTTTTTTTGAGACAGAGTTTCACTCTTTTTGCCCAGGCTGGAGTGCAATGGCACAATCTCGGCTCACTGTAACCCCCACCCTCCTGGGTTCAAGTGATCCTTCTGCCTCAGCCTCCTGGGACCTGCTACTATGCCCCACTAATTTTTGCATTTTAGTAGACGGGGTTTTACCATGTTGGTCAGGCTGGTCTCGAACCCCTGACCTCAGGTGATCCACCCGCCTCAGCCTCCCAAACTGCTGGGATCACAGGCGTGAGCCACCGCCGTGACCATTTCAGACACATCCCAGAGTCCTAGCGGGAGGCGTGGGCTCTGCTGTGCCGGGCTAGAGGCACCGCGGCCCAAGGGCCCCCTTGCACGTCCACCCAGAGGCCTCACCTGGAGCTGAGCAGCCGTGATGCGGCCTGTAGCGCTGAAGTCCAGTGACATCACCATGGCGAACCGGGTGGCGCTACGGCTGTGGGCCACGGACACCGAGCCGAAGGCCCGGAGGATGGTGAAGGTGGCTCGGATCTTCTCCACTGTTGGGGGCACGGGGCCAAGCGTCACTGATGTCCAGGTGCTGCCACTCCCACCTCGCACAGGCCCACCTTTACCGCGGCCCCTGCCTCTGCACCCTGAGGGCTTCCTGTGCGCTTCCCGCCATCCCCTCCCTGCCCCACCCGACTCTAAACCACATGCATTTCACTGAGCACCGCCTGCTGGGCTGACCCTGTACTACCAGCCCTGGCGTAGGGGAGACAGATTCCATCTAGAAGGGCCAGGGATAGGCACCATCTGGGTAACAGAGGCTGCCCTAGGGCTTCCCAGACCTAATAGAACCTAGAAAGAGGTGAACCTAGAAACATTCTGGGGCCTGCCCCACATCTTGGAAGCAGGCTGGCAAAGCCCTCTAATCTCCCCACTACTATTCATTGCATACCTACAATGCAACAAGCACTGTGCTGAGCACCTGCATACAGCCTGACCTGACTTCCACCCTCAGACACATACAATTCACAGCACAACTACATTCAGAGAGACTGTGCCTCTTCCCAGCTTCTAGCATGAGCCAGATAGAGAGAAGGTGTTCAGCAAAGCATTGCAATAATCCTGGTGGAGAAGCACTGTAGCCAGCGGTTAAAAGAGATTGAGGTCTGCTCTTTGCTGGTTATCCGATTTGGGGCAAATTAATTAACTAGCTAATTAACTAATTAATTAATTAATTAAATTTAGTCCTCATGTGGCTGTCATGACCAAAGGTTTTTTGTTGTTGTTTTTTGAGATGGCGCTTCTCTCGTGTTGCCCAGGCTGGAGTGCAATGACGCGATCTCGGCTCACCGCAACCTCTGCTTCCCAGGATCAAGCGATTCTCCTGCCTCAGCCTCCCAAGTAACGGAGATTATAGGCCTGCGCCATCACACGCAGCTAATTTTGTATTTTTAGTAGAGACGAGATTTCTCCACGTTGGTCAGGCTGGTCTCGAACCGCCAACCTCAGGTTACCTGCTCTCCTCTACGCTCCCTGGGCTTCTTCCCTAGCCTGCTCTGCCAGCACTTTTTGAAGAACATTCAAGTTTTGAACGTATGTACACTTCAATTTCCTCTCTGGCTATTAGTTTCTCACGAGTGTAGACTCTGCCTTTCTGTCTTCACTGGTCGAGTCACCTGTTCAGTTCAGCAGGTTGTGCACTGCCCAAAAACACCACAACCCACTACCCTAGACTTGTGTGCTTATATTAGGATGGTTTCCCAGCAGATGGCAGTCAAGTATCCGCTTCTAATAACATCAATGTATGATGATTGTTCTGCAAATGGCCGCCAATGTCTTGAGGAAGGAGTGCCTTATTCTAACTTCAACAAATGCATCTCAGTGACCCAGGGATAGCCCTGCTCAGCAGCCAGCAGGGGGTGTGCACGTATCTGGTGCTCAGTGAAGGCTAGCTGAATTAATATAAGAAAGAGCAGCTCAGCATCCCCTTCCAGCTCTCCCCATCCTGGCCCCAAGTCTACACATCACCTAGAGGCCACCGTACCTGAGACCCTGCCATCCAGGCTGCCTGCCATCCCCACCAGGTACTCCAGGACCTGCTCGCAGCAGGAGGTCTTCCCAGCGCCACTCCGGCCCAGCGCCACAATGCTCTGGTCTCTCCAATGGTTGAGCAGCGCCCAGTATGCCCGCTGGGCCATGGAGCCAATGTGGGCGGGCAGGCCATCCCGGCGGCTCCTGGGCACCTGTAGGAGGACCACAGGCATCATCAGCCTTCACACCCAGCCAGTGCCTAGGGAGCATTCTAAGCCAGTGCCCCGCCCCAGGTTTAGGACCCAGAACTGTGTCCCCGCCTCCCTTCCTACTCTGCGGGAAGAGCCCAACCTGTGTGTCTAGTCCCGCCCCCGGCTCACTGTGCGTCCTTGGACCGCCCATGCCTGTTTCCTGAGCCTAGGTCGCCTCTTTAGTTAGTCAGAGGCTTGAATGTCAGCTGCATTCGCCCACGGGATTCATCTCACTGGTTACTCAAAGCGTCGAATAGTATCTGCTTGAAACGAGGCAGCTGGATAAGTGGCATAATTATCCATTGTGATTAGTGATGTCTGCCACGGACGCAGGGAAGGGCACGTGGAGGGGTTAGTGGCATGTATGCTACATGTTTGCCGTAAGAGATTTAGGTGACACCTGAAACCCCATCTGCTTCATCCATTCATTCATACTTCAGTCAAATAATCCACTGAGGGTCTGCTACGTAGCAGGCACTTGGGCACAGCATGACACAAAATGGATAAAGGAAATTCCAGCCAATCACAAACAGATACCATTATACGCCTGTGACAATGGCTGAAAAAACACTTACCAGTCGCTACCAAGTTTTGGTGAAGATGACGAGCTACTGGAATTCTTATACAATGCCCATGGGAAGCCTGAATGATACAGTCACTATGGAAAACAGCCTGGCAATTTCTTCTACAGTGAGATACACACGTAACACATAAACCCACAACCCCTCTCCACGTATTGACTTAAAAGAAATCAAAACGTATGTTCATAAAAATTCCCTCTATGTCATTGGTTATATCGACAGTGTATTCAAAATCACCAAACCCTAGAACAATGCAAACATGCTTTAGCTAGTGAACTAGGAGAATCACCCATCCTGGTTTTAGCGACGAAAGTCTCATGTCCCAGAAAATGTTTTAGTCCCCAGAAAACCAGGACAACTGGTCACCCTCTGAACAAATACGCACGCTAGCGTCTCCATGAAACAAAATAAAGGAACAAACTGCGGATCGATGAAACCTCATGGAAGAATCTCCAACGCACTGCGCTGCCTGGAAGAAGCCAGTTTGAAACATTACCTACTGCACAATGCCATGCATATGATTTTTTTTTTTTTGGAAAAGGTAAAACTATAAGGACAAATAAAAACAGGTCAGCGGCTACCAGGGGTGGAGCTTGGGGCTGAGCTGACCACAGAGGGGCCCAGAGAACTTTTGTGGGTGATGGGAACTGTCTTGTAATTGATTACGGAAGCAGTTTCGCAACTACACACCTTCGTCCAAAACGCACAGATCTGTACACTAAAAAGGTGACCTGAGCTGTAATGTAAATTACACCTCAGTAAGCCTGATTTTTTCTTAAGTCCTTGCTTGGTGGAGCTTGCCTTCTGCTGGGAAGAGAGAGATGATCAACGAAAGAAGGAATTCCATTGTAGTGAACGGGAGGCATTTGAAAGCCACACGCCTGAATGAGATCACCGAGGAAGAGTGTGGGGACGGGGCAGTCTGACAGGGACAGCCAGGGAGACCACGAGGAAGACTGACTGGGAGGCTACTGGGCTGGAAGCAAAAGCAGGAGCATGGAGTCCAGGAGCAGAGGAAGGGTGTGTTTCCAGGAAGAGGTGGAGAAATGCTGCTGAGTTCATGAGTTCAATAAGGGGAGGCCAGACACTTGACATTGGACTTGGCAGCAAGGGAAGAGGGCAGGAGGTCACTGTGAGGTCAAGTGGGAGGGCACCAAGAGGAACAGAGGGATGGGCCGTGCTGCAGGAGGATATCCAAAACCCAGGATGCTGAGGGTCCTCACTGGGTCCAGCAAGGCCCCATCTGCCCTCCCTAGCGCAGGCCCTTGGCCAAGCTAAGGGCACAAACCCCGTGTGATGGCCTTCCCCTCAGCCTGGATGTCCAGCTTGGGGCTGGGGGTGTCCCCAGTCCACTGTCGGCCTTTCCTGCTCCAAGCCCCTGAGAAACAGTCATGAGTCCCTATCCTGATGGCAGACGTAGGGCTCAGCAGGACCCTGATGCAGGCAAAGGGGGGACATGCCCCCACACTGCCTGGACACAGCCTTAGGGCTTAAGGCAGGCAGTGGGTCCTGGGGTCTGAGCCCTAGAGCCCTCCCCCAGTCTGGAAAAACTAAAGTTCAAGGGACGGGCAGTCCCGTCCATCAGCCCACTCAGGCCCACTGCCTGGAGGGAGAAGGAAGAATTCTGCACGTCCAGATTCCTGAAGGCACTCATATGTGCGTGCATGCACATATGCCTTTGCATCTGCGTACATGTGCCCTTGCATGCATGCACACAGGTGTGCTTGAAGGCACATGCACACAATTGCTGAGGGCTCTGTTCACAGAGATGGTGCCCAGTTCTGTCCACCTGGACACGCCCATGCTCAAACTCACGTTCTTATTCACCGAGACCTGCACGCCCTCAGGCGCATGCCCAGACCCCAGCCGCCTGGTGGGGGCTAGCCCCCCAGTGAGAGAGACCCCCAGTGCCGCCCAGACCCCACCAGCCCATCCTCTAGGTGGTCTCGGCCTCACCACAGACCTGTGCTGCCACCTGGTGGCCACATGGGGAATCAGAGGTTGATCCAGCCTGAGGACAGGAGGTGTTTGGGGGTTTCAGTGTGGCAGTCAGGAAGGCATGAGGGAAGGGTGGGGACCAGTGCTGGATCCCATCCCGGGGTGAGGAAGGCAGGTAGGTGGATCTACCTTTAGGGTGTGTAGCAATGCCTGCACCTGTTAGCACTTTTGCCTAAGTTCTGATGCCTCAGTCTGGGACGGTGAGTGATGGGCTGCTTGCTATCAGGGCCTATGAAAACGTCCCTTCCAGCAATTTCCAGGGAGCCAGAGGAGTCACCAGGCCATTGGACAGCTCAGAGGCCCTGGGCTGCAGTAACAGAAGCCTAGGCACTCACCACAAGGAGGGGAGAGGGCACGTGCCAACCTCTGGCCCACCCAGAGCTTCTGAGGTCCTCCCAGGCCCTTGACCATGACAGCTGTGTGGGAGAAGCGAGTTAAGGGGTGGTGTGGGGCACTCTGGAGGAGAACCATCTTGGAGAGAGTGGAACAGGACCACTATCTCCCCTTATATCCCCTTTAATGGATTTAGCATTGTTCAGGGATTAGAGATGTGTTTGTCCCACGGGGCTCCAGAGGGCTTTTCATCCCCAATTGGCAGAGGAGAACATGGAAACCAGAAGAGGCATCATGATCTTTCCTAGACACCAGGTGTCCTAGGGGCTTGCGACTTCCCAATGAGTCCCCAGAAGAGCGCACAGGTAAGATGTCTCACCTCCGGCAGGCCTCCCTGCCTCCACGGAGCCTCTTCCCACCTGTCCTCCACCCAGCAGCCAAAGGCATCCTTTTACCACCTAAGACACGCACGTCACTGCTCTGCTAAAAACCCCAGTAGGGACTCTCTCTGAGCCTACTCTGCCTCGGGAGGCTGCCCGGTTCATAAAAAATAAAGAAAAATCCCCAGTAGCTGCCATCCCTTTCAGAGACAAAGCCAGGCTGATCATCCTGAGAAGCCACGCAGCTCTGTTCTGGCTTCTTCCAACCTCTCCCCCCTCCTTTGTTGAGGGCCTGTCTTTTCTTCCTAGAGGGCAGGCCTGCTCGCCCGGCATCTTCCCTGCTGCCTGGGCTCGGCCCAGTAGGGGACCCTCTATGATGACAGCTCAGTCGCTATGGACTGAATGAATGAATGAAGGGGCTGCGCTTCAGTGACTGCTGAGGTGCCTCGTGCGTCCACAAGGTGGCGCTTAAAGATTTCCTTTGCTCTTGTCCATCGCGATGGACACAAATGGGCCTTTTCTACACTTCCGAGGGAAAAAAAAAAATCAAAGCACAACTGAAGCTTCTGTTTCCCCGTTGATGTGGGCGCTCGGGCCTCCTGAGAGTCCAGCATGGGATGAAGAGCACGCAGGAGCGCGGGGCCCTGGCCGTTCCCGGCTCCTCTGCTCGCCCGTCCTGAGAGTTTAGTGTGCACCTGGCCGGGCCGGCTCTTCCCATCTGTAAAATGGGCTAGTAACAGTACCTGTGTTTTCAGCTGGATCTGTGAGAATGAGCTGAGTTAATACATGAAGGTGCATGAAGCACTGCCTGGTGGGGTTAATACTCATTCAGTATTTTCTTTCGTTATTCTTGTGATATTTAATGCTGTGGTTTCTGTCCTAATGGCGACTGATCATCCCCCCCCTCCCCACCCAACCCCAGGGAATGGAGGAATCACATAGTCCACACCGCAGGATACCCACAGTGCCACGAGAAGGATGCTGCTTGCAGAGAGGTGGACTGGGAGCTCTGCTGGCTCTGCTGCCACCTCAGACGCACGGGGATTCCCCACCCCCTCCTGCCCTCAGCTCCCCAACCCTGCGGCCCATGGTCCCACCTCACCTTCCCTGAGGAGGGCACCGAGGGCCCCCGGGGCTGGAGGACGATCAGATCAGGCCCCGTGCACGTGTGTGGCAGCTGAGCCCTGTGGCGCTGCAGAAGCGTGTTCAGGACACTGGATTCGTTGACACTGATGAGAGAGGCCAGGTCCTCGGCCTGGTCCAGCTCAGGAGGGTTGGCCTGTGAAATCATCACATAGCGTCTCCTCTGGCTTCCTGGGCCCCTACACACACACAAGCACACACTCTCACACACATTCACACACACACACGCATTCACACTCACACATACATTCACACACATGCACACATACACATTCAGACACACACATACACCCACACACACACACACACACCACACACACATATACACACACATACACTCACATACACGCATACACACATTCACACATATACATACATGCACACACATATTCAGACACATCCACACATACACTCAGACACACTCACATACACCCTGATACACCAAATACATACACACTCACAGACACACATACTCACACCCCCATAGACATACACACACATACACACTGACACACACACACACTGACACACATACACACTGACATACATACACACACAGACACATGCACTGACACACACACTGACACACACACACATGCACACACATATTCAGACACATCCACACATACTCACACCCAGACACTCACATACACACTGATACACCACACACATACACACTCACAGACACACATACATACGCACACCCGCATAGACATACACATACACACTGACACACACACACATATACACACATACACACCGACACACATACACAGACACTGACACACATACACACTGACATACACACACACTGACACACACTGACACACATACACACATGCACACACATATTCAGACACATCCACACATACACCCAGACACACTCACATACACACTGATACACCACACACATACACACAGACACACATACATACACCCCCATAGACATACACACACATACACACTGACACACACACGCATATACACACATACACACTGACACACACACATACTGACACACATACACACTGACATACATACACACACTGACACATGCACTGACACACACACTGACACACACACACATGCACACACATATTCAGACACATCCACACATACACCCAGACACACTCGCATACACACTGATACACCACACACATACACACTCACAGACACACATACATATGCACACCCGCATAGACATACACACACATACACACTGACACACACACACATATACACACATACACACTGACACACACACACATACTGGCACACATACACACTGACACACATACACACTGACATACACACACACTGACACACACACTGACATACACACAGTGACACACATACACATACACACTCTGACACACACACATACACACACACACTGAGCCCTTCTCTTGAGAGCCATGTGCCAGAGACCAGAACAGAGCACAGGGCCTCTGGACGGGAAGCGATGAAGCCCTGCAGAGAAAACAGGGCCACCCCTTCTCCTTGCCCTTTGTGCAGCCTACCGCGCACCCCCCTTCACTATGGTCCAGCCCCCAGTGCACCATGAGGGGAGACGCTCCCAAGACAGACTTGACAACGTTCAAAGCACTTCCTGAGTCGCTCTCCTCTTCTGGCTCTTATGGGGAAGCTCTCAGTCCGCTCCATGATACCCAGCAGTGGAGACCAATGACCAGACCACCTGGTTGGTCGCGTAGCTCATCATGCATGGACTCCCAGGAAACCGCCCGGACCCTTAGAAGCAAGGGGTGTGTGGAGCTGCGCCCTGACACATCTATTCTAAGAGGCATCCGATCATGCTTTCCAACTCCAGGGACTTTTCTGAACCTAGTACTCAGGGGTTTGGGCCAAGCTTGAGCCCTCTCACGGATCGGCCTTTCTTGCAAGGCCACTGAGCCTCTGGAAATTCCCAGCGCAGGAGAGGAAGCCTGAGGTAGGCAGAGGAGGAGCAGAAAGGAATGCAGATGAACAACGAGATGAACCCCTTCTAAGTTAGCAGGCTGTGAGGAGTGGAAAGGGCATGACAGAACCTTTTTTTTTCTATCATTACCCTGTGACTTGTCCTGAAAAGGATTTATGGTGCACAAGAAAAAGGTATTCAAAGCAATTTAAAGAGCAAAGATGAAAGAAACTTTGATGCCAAAATATAGGCCATTAGAATCTAGACTATGCTTAATGGCGAGCAGCAAATTTGGCTCTGAGTTCCCTGGCAGCCAGAGTGAAAACAGAAACATGCTCTGTAGTATGATTTCCAATATTTATAAAATAAAAAGCTGTCATTTTCTTGGGTCTATCAGAAGAACTCCCAGTACCAAGACCTGACAAACATGTCCCTTGATGCGTCCTCATTAAGGGAAACCACAGGACAGAGTGAATGACCCCCTAACAGTATCCCTCCAGTAGAGCAATGACTTCAGTGGGGTTCTTCACTATAACTCCCTCCAGGGCATCAAGCCAAAATGGTATTTCTAGTCAGGTACAAGGAAACCTCTTGCAGGGGTGGGGAAGGAGGGTATGGAACTGGTGGGCAGCAGGACAGGGGACTTACCCTATGGACATGCTCCTCATCCACCTCAGTGACGGTTTTGTCAGCATCGATGCAAAGTCTCACCCTTCCTGCTGGCAAGTCTGCTGTTCCCTCATCTGGCTTTAGCACCGTAGCTGGCATCCCAGAGAGAGAAGGTGGAAGGGGATGGGGTGGGAAAGGAAGAGGGGGTGGATGGGGAAGAGGGGAAAGAAGAGGCTCTGAGCGGGGCCAGCAAGCTTGGGAGGAGACTTAGGACAGGTCAGAAAGAGGCTGCATCTTCTCCATTTGGGGGTCGTTTGCATGGAGCTTTCTAAGTTGTGACCCCAAATCCTCTAAATCCAGGCTAAGTCTGACTCACCTTAGGCTTTTACCAGCTGGCACAGTGCCAGGCACAGATTGGGCACCCAGATAGTTGTGTACACTGACCTGGAATGGCAGATGATGGCATGCAAGCTGCCATCTCCCCATCCAGTGCCCATGGCAGACATCACTAATCAATCCTCTTCCCAGCTGCGTTTGGACTGGGACTCAGAATCACTTCTCAGTAGAGTGCAGCGATCAGCCACAGCCAATCGACAAAAGTAGGCTCAGGAGATCAAATCTATTGGCCCCTTGTACCAGACTCTGCATTCCTCAAAGAACACCATAGGAAGCAAGCGTGCTTGGTGCACATATGAGCTGCAGTAAATAACTCATCGTAAGCAAATAATGAGTTACAGGTAAATAACACACTATCAAGACGCAAATGCCTTTGAAAGACGGTCTCCACTGCTCCTCTCCCCTCCTTACCCCCGAAGTGTAATCAGGACCTGCAACATACGATTGGCAGCAGTAGGGGCACCCTCCAAAGGTACTAACGCCCCTACTTACCAAGGGTGAATCCGTCCTTCTGAGCCAGCCAGACTTTCTCTGCCTCATACCATCTGTCCTCAGGAGCCTGAGGACCAAGACAACGTAAATTAAACCAGCCTGGCCTTTCTCCATGGCTGGCCCCAGGAATCTGCATTTTTAACAGTCTGCTCTTTGTGCCACCCCAAGTTTGAGAGCTGTCATGTGACATAAGCAAGCTCCACCATGTTAGCCATGAGGAGACACCTCACATTTTGGGGACCTTCTCTCACTCTGTGGGGAATTCCACCCCAGGGCAGGTGCAATGGAAACCTCAAGATCTCCGCTCACAAAGGAAGTGCCATCATCTCCCCTAGGTGCCTCCCAGTTCCAGCCACCCCTCTCCAATTCCCTGCCCACTCCCTGTCCACCCTTTGTCCATCCCTGGGGGCAGATCTTTCCCACCCCTTTGTCTCTGAAGGGCCCCATCTGCCCCTCCCCCCACCCAGAGCCGCAGCCCCCTCACCTGGTCTGCGTCTCTGCTGTGGCCTCCTTTGCCTGCCTCTTGTGGGGCCAGCCCGTCTTGGTTATCCTTTGGTATCTGAGGCCTTTCTGCATCCTTCTCCAGAGGAGGCTGGCTAAATCCTTCCAGCTCTGTCTCCAGGGCACCAGCCCCGTGATCTGCTCTTGAGCAGGGCTCCTCTACTTCCTGCCCACGGCTTCCTGGCCAGCCTCCCTTCCCCGCAGCTGCTGGCGGCTCCACCATCGTGCCCACCTCGTTTGGGTCTTCACAGCCCTTCTTAATCTGATTCCGAGCTTCACCTGCCTTCCCAGGCTTACTCTGAGCTTGCCCCATCTTTTCCTTCTCATCCCGGGACTCACCTGCCCTCCCAGTTGAGCTCCGAGGCTCACCTGCTTTCTCTCCCTTTCTCGGATCATCCCCCGGCCTGCCCTGCACTTGGCTTGTCTTCTCCGTCTGGGTCTGAGGCTCACCTGTCTTCCCTCCCTTACTTAAGAGCACCTCTTCTTTGTCCTTTTTCTGGGGACCATCCCACTTACTCCTTCTTCCCAGGAAACCTCCCCACTTTCTGCCTGGAATTTGGGGCCCAACGTGCTTCCCTTCACTCCCTACGTCCTTGGAGACATCCCCCTTCTCCACCGTGTTTGTGGGCTCCCCTCCGTCCTTCTCTGCTGTCCCCACCCGCACCCTCTCACCGGGCCCTTGGGCTGGGGGCCTGGTCCCCTGGCTGTCTTTGCCCTGCAGCTCACCCTCTTTCAGCTCTTTGGTCTTGGGAGCCCCACCCCCTTTCCCCACAATGCTTTGACCCTTTTCACCATTTTTCAGTGCCACTGTTCCTTGGCCTGGGTCCCCAAGACCCCCAGTTCTGGTCTTCTCAGCTTTTGGGGCCAAGATCTCAGTGCTGGCCTGGGGGCCACAAGGAGTCCTAGAGGTCTCCCCTTTCTTTTCCCTTCCAGGGTCTGTGGCTGGGGATGGGGTTTTGCAAGAGGGGGTGTCATGGGAATGAGTCCTCTCTGGCTTGGCTGAGTCCGGGTCCAGCTTGGCCACCATCAACAATACATCACCCCTCCTCACACCCCTCTTGAAAGGGGGGGTCTTTTTGGCTGGTGTTGCACTGGAGCCCAGCTCCTGGGCCTTCTCACCGTTGATGCTGGTCATCCGCTCAGGGTCAGGGCTGCCGGCCCCCTCACTCGCCTTGCCCAGAATGTTTGAGCTCCCGGGAGAGCTTGACTGGTCTTCCTGAGAGATCTGCTGGCTTCCAGGTCTGCTGCCACTGCTGGACTTGCTGTTGGGTTGGCTGCTGGGAATTTCTGGGGTCTAGGAGAGAAACCACAACTATGACTGCATAGCTGCTTGCTGACCCGACAGTTTCGTTGTTCACTCACGTGTTCATTCATTCATCTAGTTGTTCACGTCTCCATTCACCCTTCCACAGATGCTCGAGCACCTCCACATCCAACAGGCATGGCCAAGCCCAACACCCTAGACCTTGGCCCAGCCCCGCAACGTTAAGGGATGGAAAGGAAGGAGAGTGGACTTTGGAGCCCAACAGAACCAAGTTCAACTCCTGACTCTGACACTCTGTAGCTGTGTGACCTTAGTTAAATGACTTCTGCTCTCTGAGTCTGTTTTTTAATCAATAAAATGAGGATGATAGAAGGCTACCTTGCAGGGTGGGTGTGAGAATTTGTGATAATAGATAAAAACTAAGCCTAGCACATAGTGTGTCCGCAGTAACAGCAGCTGCTGCTACTGCTGTTGTTATTTCTGCCTGGATTCTTCCTGGGCCAGCAGGGGATCTGGGAAAGGACTCAGAGCCTGTCACTAGAGGACCTGTTCTCATCTTGGCTCCAACACTCTCCAGCTAGACTTCCTCTCTCTGTCTCTATCTGGGCTACCATCTCCTCTCTGGGCTTCGGTTTTCCCTAGTACAGGTAGATACCATCTGACTATCCAGATCTTAGAGGAACACACTGAGATGCTGCTACTTCCACTGGCCTGGTCCCCATATCACACTCCCCATAGCAGCTGAGGGCCCTGGTTTCTGCCCCTGGGGTCCTCCTCTCTTGCCTGACATAGACATCTGTGGCTGCACAACACCCAAGGGGTTTTCACTGCCTGCTCCCTTCCCAGGCCTTTTCACTGCCTTGTGATTTTAGCCTTGCTCAGAACTTCACCCTCAAAGCAGCCTGGCTGTGGCCTGAAGAGCTCACAGGTCCAGCTGTACCTCCATCTCTGCAGAAAAAGACCTCAACTTCAAAAGCAAGTTCCACCTTGATGTCTTGCTTCACCACCATCCCCAGCCTGGGTTCTTTCATCTTGGACAACACAAGCACAGCCTCACAAACACCCAAGCCTGGGAATCTGGGACTCTCACCCTCCTCTTGCATTCATTCATTCCAGTCCCAGGGGCATGTTGATTCCACCCTGCAAAGCTTCACATCTGTGTCTCTTTCTCCAAACCCATGTCTGCTATCCCTCACCTGGGCCATTGTCACAGCCTGTCCCTTCAATTTGCTGCCAGCCATTTTAAACCTGATCAAAAGATTCAGGTAGTTGCCTACAGCTTACAGGAAAATCATTTGGCACCACTATTGGATGTTCAAACTCCTCAACAAGGAACCCCAGCCTCCAATCTGATCATATTGTCCATACCTGTTCCCATGTATGAACTGTACAAGCCTCTTCTCCCACCTGACCCTTCCCTGCTTCCAGGTGGTTGCCTACGCTGAGCTTCCTGCCTGGAGTGCCCTTTCCCCTCTTCACTTGTCCGCTTCTATACCCAGCTCAAATATCTCTATCTCCCCTCTGTACATCTTCGCCTGAAGACTTCAAATTGTTCCAAGTTTGCACAAAGTCCCAGAGCACTATGCTAGTACAGCAGTCACAGCATGGCCACCTTCTGCATTTTATTCTGGCTTTTGTTGGTATCTCCCTCCTGTTTTAGGTGGACAATGCCACAGCAAGTCTTCATCTTCATCTTTGTAATAATGATGATAATAGTAATACCTATCATTTATACCTTCCTTGCAATAAGCCCTATATCACCATCATGCAATCTCCTACTTAATCCTCCTAAGGAACAACTGGGGCAGATTCTGAACTTCTCCCCATCCTACAAGCAAAGAAGCAGAGGCAAAGACGAAATGTAAAGCCAGTTCTCTCTGACTCTAAAGTCAGTGCCCTCAACTGCTGCATATTAGATAATCTTCCTTTTCTCTCTAGGGCGCTCTGGAATCTCCTGGGACACTGAAAAAAACTGCAATGCCTTGGCCTTATTCCCAGAGAGTCTGATTGAGTCGGCCTGGGTTGTGACTCCCTGGGTGATTATGAGGTGCAGCTGGAACTCAGCATCACGGCTCCGGAGCCCACGGCCGAGTGGCTCCTCCTGACCTTCTGGGGCAAGGCAGGGCACAGCCTTGGAAAGAGATTGACTGCACTTGGCAAATCTCACCACTGTGTACACCATCTTGAAAAGTTTAAGTCAGTACCTTACTTTTAACCAACCACCACAGAGGAGACAGTAACATGGGGTGGGCCAAACAAGATAACCAGTGCCAGCCTCCTCTCACCCCACCCCCATATGCCCATGAATTCTCTTCCTTTGGATCTTCAAAGTCATCAAAGTATTTATTCCCCCCGCCCTGCACCCTTCTTAGCATATAGAGGAAACAGCATCTCCAGAATCACTGGGGCCAATAAGAAACTCATAGTACATTTTTATAGATGAGTAAACTGAGGCCAAGAAGGGGGAGGGGTTGAGCCAGGACCACAAAAAGTGGCAGGGTCAGAGCTAGAAATCTAGATCTCCTTGACATTCAATAAGGGTTACTTTCCAGTTCAGTGTTATTCCAGCCTCTCCCTGTCCCTGACTGGCTGGGTAGCCTTAGGAGAAACAGGTCACCTTCCCGAGTCTTGGTTTCCATTCCTGCAAAATGGGATGGATCCTATCAGCTTCTTGCAAGGATTAGGTGAGGATCAAATGAAACAGTTGTGCTGGGACAGGGCAAGTGTGTACCGAGTTATTTATTGATTGGGACAAGAAAATTAAACTGGCAGGAACCAAGCAGAGCTTGCTGCCTTGTGGGAACATGTCCTGAGGCTCCCTTGCTCCAGTCCCAGGAATATCTTGGCCCATGGTCCAGCCACCTGCTGTGGGCTGAGGCTCAGAGCCATCCTGCATCTTGGCTCTGAGTCTCCATCCAGGCCCAGCAGTGACAGTTTGTCCTCATCCATGGCTCAGCTCTGCCTCTTAACTTGCTCACAGTGACACCAGGACTGCTTACAATCTCATGAAACCCTTTCCCCCCAGGTGTCTGTGGCACCACGCCGGCCACCTCACTCACCTGACTGGTCCTTTCCCAGGCATCCTGTGAGAAAGGAAAACACACAGGATCTCCCCCTTGCTCTGCCTCTATGTGGTCACATGACCTTGGGTAAATCACTGGACTTCTTTTGGCCTCAGTCTCCATCTCTAATAAATGGGTAGAATCCCACCCACCCGCATTGCTGCACAGAGTATCGAATGAGCCATGAGCAGCAAAGAAGCATTGTCTGGTGGTAAACAGCACACAGTAGTATTTCATCGTAACCTAACAACAGCCTGCTGCGGTCAACTTTGGTCCCCGCTTATGCCTTAGGTCAGGCAAGAGTGGGAACAGAGCCTGTCCTCCCCACCGATCTCCCTCACAAAGACGTGGCAGGGGTATTTCAGCAGCTGCTGCTGTTCAGCTGCTCGAGGACCCCTCTAACACATCAAAGTCATTCATCGGACAGGTGCAGGCATATGTGGGACCGAATTCCTAGTCAAATAACTTATATAATCCAGTAAGTACTATGCCAACCAACCACAATTAAGACAGGCATAGAAGGTGCAGCATGATTCAGAGGAAGGAAGGCAATGGGAGAACTTTCCAGAGATGCGCTATTTGAACTGGGTTTTGAAGGATGTATAAGAGCTCCGTAGATCAGGTTGAATAAAGGACATGCCTCAAAGCCAGGAGAGCGGGAGCAAAGGCAGGGTGACCAATGAATGACTCTGAGGAAGCTCACAAGACAGAATGATGGGCATGGAAAGACATCTGGTCCCACTTCTTGGGAACCCCTTACCTCTCGTTCTGGAGAGGCGAGAGCTGACCGTTTCCTCTGTCTCGCTTCCTTGGCCTCTTTTTCAGTCTCCCGGACCAGTTGCTTGATGAAGCCCCCTGGGATGACAGAGAAAAGGGGAGGGGGCGAGGACGGCGGAGGGCTCTTGTCCTCTTCCCGAATCTGTTTTGCAGAAGCAAGGAAGGAGAGAGCTCAGTGAGTCCAAGAGCAGGAGCAAGCTGTCCTTCAAAAAATGTGCGATGGAGCCTGGAGGGGGCCGAGGAGGACATACATGACCAAGCCCATGTATGAGAAGCCACAGCCAAGCAGGTGAGGCCCAGCAGGGCTCGGGGGGGGGGTCCCCAAGACAGCACATGAAAATGGAACGCAGGGGCAGCCAGGAATTCTGCGGGTCAAGGTGATTTCTGCCTGACGATAGGAACTGTCATTTGCATGGTCAAGGCTGCTGGTTCCCCTCCTTGCCATGGGACACGCCCGTTTCTGGGAGGACCTGCTCTGAGCTTTCCCAGTTTCCAGAAAGGAAGGGATCACAGGGAATCATCCACACTCTCCTGGTCGCCCTCGGCTCATAGTTAATATAATAGATGAATCAGTTAATCACTTACTGTGCACCAGGAACGTGGTGAGATAGGGAAGAGCTGATAGCCATGATCTATATAAGGATCTGACCTTGCGGCTCCAACCCACTCAACTGACACCATGCTGTGGCTTCCTGATGGTCCTTAAACCAGGACCTGGGCAGCCAGGGGTTCTCCAATACTGGGTCCCATAACAGGCAGGTTGGACCCTGGTATTTCACCCCCAGAAATATGGCCGAGGCCAGCACCGGCTGGACTCGTGGTGCAGCTGAGACCCCTCTGTTGGCCACAGCGACTTGGAGGCTGACACCTGGGACTGGCTACGGCCGACTGAAGCGTGTCTTTAGCCTGCATCGCTGACAGCCCATGAGAAGAAAAGAGTCATCAGCGCTTTATATGGAAGAGCTCCATACTGGTTTAAAATAAACTCCTTATCAAGGTCCTCTGTGCATGTGTGGGAAAGACATGCTGTCTGCAGCCCAGCTGATAAAGGGGGAATGCAAGGGAGCTAGGAAAGACCTTGGGATGGAGCTGGTGGACGCGGACCTCTGCCCAGGAACAGAGAAGCAGGGGCACGTGCTGCGGGGCCCACATCAACGTCACGTTCCCCTTCTTTCCTTCCTGATGTGGGACTGAAAGCCCCTTCATAAGTGAGGGTCAGTTTAAGGCACACTCTGCAGTTTCCAATGCCATTTTAGCTGCTACCCGCAGACCAGGCTGGGAGGGGCAGGGGCAGCCAGGAGGCAGCCAGGGGGCAGAAGCTTCTCCCCTCCCACCCTTCCACCTCCAGCTCTTCAAATCACATGCGCAAGGTGGAGTGGGGGTGCAGGAGGTAACAGCCATCTTAGAGTCAGCCCTTCACAGCAAATCATGAAAAACACAGAAGGGGAAGAAGGAATATCTGGGAGAGGAGAGCCCATTTCCAGTTCTCTCTGGTGCCCGAAAGCAGGGATCACAGAAACCCACCCCTGTGACATAAACTTGGCCTCTGAGAGTTCTGCCCCTGCCCCCCATGTGCCCTTCCTCCCATCCAAACCCCAGCGCTCATCAGAGCTGCCATGAGGATCCAGCTGGGACAGCTGGTCTACCCTCATTTCCCCACGACCACCTGGAACAGAAAATGACCAGGCAGCCCTGGGGGGAGCCAAGGGTGTAGCCAGCAGTGGCCAGCTGGATCGGAAAGGCCATGGCTAGGCTAACCGAGCTGGCTAGGAGAAGCCTGAAGGTGGGATTGTACATGCTACAAGATGGGCTTGATGTCAGACTCCCCGCTCAAGGTGGGAAAGGTTGGATTTGTCTCCCGAGGGTCGACTCAGTCCCTGAAGATGGCTGCAGCCCCAGCCATGAGTGTCACTTTCCTTCTGCTCCCACAAGGCGAGGCGTGATGAGATGGCCATGCTGAGGCAGCGCCAGGGCCGTGAGATGATGAGATGAGATGGAGCTCCCTGCCAGATAGCACGGAATGAGGCTTTACAGACACACACAGCACATGAGCTGGATAGACACAGGACTGACATACAGGAACACAGTGGGGAGAGAAGAGAGAGAGAGGTTAGCTCATGGGCACGGCCGTGCTCCTACCTCTGCCAACACCACAAACCAAGACCCTATGGGGGAATGGGCACAGCCAGGTACAGCCACTGCCAGCTACCCCTGCCACGAGGATGGTCAGGCAGGACGCTGCCGGCCACGGAGCGAACAGTGCCCTGAAATATTCTTCCCCTTGGTCCCACACTTTTATTGAGATATAACATATAATCAGAAAAATACGTGATCCTAAGTGTATGGCTGAGTGGCTCTTCCAGAAAGAACACATCAGTAACCTAACACCTGATCAAGATTTAAACACTATAATTTTATTTATAAGAAGTTCGAGAACAGGCAAATCTAATCTATGGTAATGCAGGTCAGAAGAGCTGTTCGCTTTGGGTTGGAAAGGGGCACGAGGGAACTTTCTGGGGCTCAGGAAATGCGTCGTATCTTCATCTGAGGGATGATTGCACAAGCATATGACGTGCAAAACTTTACCCAGCTGTACAGTGAAGATCAGACATTTTACTGTTATGTCAATCACACCTCAACTCCCAAAATGAACAGAGACCTGGAACTCTCTCATGCTCCCTTCTGGTCATGATTTCCTCAAGGGAAAGCACCGTTCTAACGTCTAACACCATGAATCATGGGGTTTTCTTTGTCGAGAGAGGACTTGGTTCCGTATTTGGAAGATGAGGTGAAGGCAGGAAACCGTAGCTCTCAGTCTGTCCCACGCTTGGAGACATAATTTGTCATCACATTGAGAGCCTTAGCAAATTTTCATAACTTTTGACCTAGAAAGCCCTTTTCTGGGAAACAAGTTTGAGGAAGTAATGCAAAACCAGAAAATTTCATCACCGTGTTGATTTAGCATTGAAAGAGCAGACACGATGTCTGATAACTAAAGACTGTCCAATAAATTAGAGTACATCCAATTCGCAGTGACAAGTCCATCGAAAAGTGTATTTAATAAGCATTTTTCACCTGCTATATTGACATGTAATTATTATGTTTCCTTGTTTACTTGCACCGGTTACTTCCCAGCCAAATATATGACTTTTTAATTATTATTACACTTTAACTTCTGGGATACATGCGCAGACCGTGCAGGCTTCTTACATAGGTATACACATGCTATGGTGCTTTGCTGCACCCATCAACCCATCATCTGCATTAGGTATTTCTCCTAATGCTCTCCCTCCCCGAGCCCCCCACAACAGGTCCCCGTCCATGTGTGATGTTCCCCTCCCTGTGTCCATGTGTCCTCATTGTTCAACTCCCGTTTATGAGTGAGAACATGCGATGTTTGGTTTTCTGTTCCTGTGTTAGTTTGCTGAGAATGATGGTTTCCAGCTTCATCCATGTCCCTGCAAAAGACATGAACTCATCATTTTTTATGGCTGCATAGTATTCCATGGTGTATATGTCCCACATTTTCTTTATCCAGTCTTTCATTGATGGGCATTTGGGTGGGTTCCAAGTCTTGCTATTATGAACAGTGCTGCAATAAACATACATATGCATGTGTCTTTATGGGAACGATTTATAATCCTTTGGGTATTTGTTTTTAAATATATAATTTATAATTTGTATGCCATAAGATTCATCCCTTGTGTCAATTTGATGATTTTTAATAAATTCACAGAGTTGTGCAACTGTCACCACAATCCAACTCTAGAACATTCTCATCACCCCAGAAAAACTCTTCACGCCCGTGTTCTGTCACTAGCCGTTCTCTCCGTCCGCCCCAGGTAACCACAAATCTACTGTCTCTATAAATTTGCGGTTTTTTGGACGCTCGCTATACCGTAATCATGCAGTGTTTTGTCATTTACGCCTTTCACTTTTTTCACTGTTTTTGACATTCATCCATGTTCCTGTGTGCGTCAGTCCCTCATTACTTTCTGCTGCCCAATTGCATGCCATTGCATGAACAGACCGGTTTTTGCTTTTTTTTTTCTTAATCCATGCAAAAGGTGATGAGCAGTTAGACTGTTTCCACTTTAGGGGCATTATAGATAATATTGCTACAAAGTCATGTAGATTACTTGGAGTGAAATTGCTGCGTAGTATAAGGTCATGTCTAAATTTAAAAAAAAAAAAAAAAAAAAAGTTTCTGGCCAGGCGAGGTGGCTCACGCCTGTAATCCCAACCTTTTGGGATTCCGAGGTGGGTGGATCACCTGAGGTCAGGAGTTCGAGACCAGCCTGGCCAACAAGGTGAAACCTCGTCTCTACTAAAAAGCACAAAAATTAGCCGGGCGTGGTGGTGGACGCCTGTAGTCCCAGCTACTCAGGAGGCTGAGGTGGGAGAACTGCTTGAACCTGGGAGGCAGAGGCTGCAGTGAGCAGAGATCACGCCACCGCACTCCAGCCTGGGTGATGGAGTGAGACTTGGTCTCAAAAACAAACAAAAGCACAACAACAAACAAACAAACAAAAAAAAGAAACTTTCCAACTGTTTTCCTCAGTGACTGTATTGTCTCCACGTCCCCCCCACTGCAGTGTATGAGGGTTGTTTGGGAAACATTTGCAGGAACACTGGAAGGTGTTTGTCTCGGCCAGCAAAGTGAAGAAGACCTGAATACAACACTGCGCACGCAGAGCTGTCCAAAATGCACCGCCACAAAAGGCTTCCAGTAGAAAATCAAGTGGGAGGAAATAGGCCAAGGTCTTCCTAGAAGTGGCCTTGAGTGGAGGACATGTCTCTTTCTTCCGCCTTTGGATTTTCTCACTTCTAGCTCTGGGTTGGCCTGGCCCTCTGAGAAACCGGCTTCACTGACCCCTCCTGAGAGACGCCCACCGCCCATCCCAGCTGTCAGATCAGCTGCTGACCAGGAGTTCTTTAAGGCCTTCTAAGCCTGGAAGTAGCTATCTTCAGTGACTTGATCAGAAGAAGGTGGCTATTATAAAGAAAACCGCTATGAATTATTATGCAAAAGTCTTGAATGGGCGTGCATTTTCATTCTCCTGAGTAAATACCTACAGTAGAATGGTATGCCATGTAAGAGGTGTATGTTAAGCTTTTGTGAGTTCTAGTGTTCTATAGGATTGCATGATGACTATGGTTAAAAATAATATTATATAGTTTTTTTGTTTTTTTGTGGGTTTTTTTTTTCGTTTGAGACAGAGTCTTGCTCTGTTGCCTAGGCTGGATTGCAGTGGTGCGATCTCGGCTCACTGCAACCTCTGCCTGCTGGATGGAAGTGATTCTCCTGTCTCAGCCTTCCGAGTAGCTGGGATCAAAGGCGTGTGACACCGTGCTCAGCTAATTTTTGTATTTTCAGTAGAGATGGGGTTTCGCCATGTTGGCCAAGCTGTCCTTAAGCTCCTGGCCTCAAGTGATCCACCTGCCTCGGCCTCCCAAAGTGCTGGGATTACAGGCGTGAGCCACCGTGCCCAGCCAATAGTAATACATAGTTTCAAATAGCTAGAAGGAGGACATGAAATGCTCCCCATACAGAAAACTGGTACATTTTTGAGATGATGGGATGCAGGCTGCTTAGGCAGCTTCACATCCTGGAAGCTGGTGAGGCCAAGGGCCGTGGCTGGGCCCCGCTGCTGTGACGAAGCCATCACTCGTCATCCCCTGAGAGTCCACGGTGAACATCTCTTTCCGACTCTGCACTCAGCAAAGCCCAATTCACAGCTTGACGGCAGCCATGGGAACGTTTACACCACACAAATTGGCAAATGCTACAAATCAGGGCTTTTATTCTGGGAGCTGGTCATTCCACGCCTCTCAGCATGTCACTAGCTAAGACCTCAGCATTCCTATGCAGCCCTGCAGGAAGGAAATTTCAGAATACAAAGATCCAAGAAGGAACAGAAACATGTCCAAGTGCTAACAGCCAAGTCTTTACCTTAAGAAAAAATCTCCCACAGGCCAGGAGCAGTGGCTCACACCTGTAATCCCAGCACTTTGGGAGGCTGAGGTGGGCAGATCACGAGGTCAGGAGATCGAGACCATCCTAGCTAACACAGTGAAAACCGACCTCTACTAAAAATTACCAAAATCAGGCAGCCGTGGTGGCATGCACCTGTAGTCCCAGCTACTCGGGAGGCTGAGGCAGGAGAATCGCCTGAATAAAAGCAGGTGAATTGCCCGAGAAGTAGAGATTGCAGCGAGCTGAGATCGCGCCACTGCACTCCAACCTGGGCAACAGAACAAGACTCCGTCTCAACAAAAAAAAAAAAAAAAAAAAAAAAAAAAAAAAAAAAAAAAAAAAAAAAAAAAAAAAAAGAAGAAGAAGAACAAAGAAGAAAAGAAAAGAAAAAGAGAAAGTTTCCCATAGGATGGGCCTTTGTATCAGTCTGTCTTGTCTTGCTATAAAGGAATATCTAAGACTGGGTAAGTTATAAAGAAAAATGTTTAATTGTCTCACAGTGCTGCAGGCTGTACAAGAAACACGCACCAGGACCTGCATCTGCTGAGACCTCAGGGAGCTTCCAATCACAGCAGAAGGGGAAGGGGAGCTGGCATCCCATGATGAGAAAGGGAGCAAGAGAGAGGGGAGGGAGGTACCAGACTTGTTTTAAATAAGGCTTTCACGTGAACAGATAAAGTAAGAACTCCCTGATTAACCCAGGGTGGGCATCGAGTCATTCATGAGGGACCCGCCTCCATGACCCAAACACCTCCCACCAGGTCCCACCTCCAACACTGGGGATGACATTTCAACATGAGATTTGGAGGGAACAGACATCCAAACGAGATTAGCTCTCCAGCTTGTAAAGGCACCAGAAGCTGGGAGAGTGGGCAAAAGGGGAGAGGGGCCGGAGGAAGGGAGGGAAGGAAGACGCCCTCCCCTCCGGTCCCCTTGGGAGACACCGGTGAGGCCGCCGGGTGATTCACAGGCTCCATGACCAAGGAGCAAAGCCCGCGTTATAAATAGGCCTGACGTGGGGTGACTGCCTTGGCCGCCACCACCCGCCTTCCCATCCAGCCCAGGCCTGGCCACGTCAGTGGCCGCTTCCC